CTTGCAGCAAGGGAGCAAGGGTGGTATCGAAGCAGTGGAGGAGGATGAGGAAGGCGAAGAGAGGGAGGGGGAGGCGGAGGGGGGAGGTAAGAGGAGGTTGCTGCAGGAGAGTCGGGGAGGGGTGGGGGGTGGAGTAAGTGTGGCGAAGGGAGGAGGCGGAAAAGGAGGAGGAAGAAGAGGAGGTGGAGCAGGGGTGGGTAGGATGGGCGAGGAGGATTCGGAGGAGGGGAGTGAGGGCGCGTTTTGGAGCGAGGATGGAGTGATAGACGAGGCGGCAAGGGAGAGAGTGAGACGGGCGTTGCGTGCAGGGCGAGAGGGGCGAGTGGTTCCGGTGAGAGCAGGGAGCATCACTGCTGGGAATGGCAGTGCGGGGAATGGGAGTGGGGGGAATGGCAGTGCGGGGAACAGCAGTGGAGTTGGGAAAGTGGAGGTGGGAGTGGTGTTGAATGAAGAAGGGGGTCCTGTGGATGGTTTGTCGCAGATAGAAGAGAGTGACGATGGAGGGGACACAGGTGATGGGGAAAGCAGTGCAGGCGGGATCCGCAGCAGCAGCAGCAGCAGCAGCAGCAGCAGCAGCAGCAGCAGCAGCAGCAGCAGCAGCAGCAGCAGCAGCAGCAGCAGCAGCAGCAGCAGCAGCAGCAGCAGCAGCAGCAGCAGCAGCGGCAGCAGCAGTGGCAGCAGCAGCAGCAGTGGCAGCAGCAAGGAGGGTGGTGCGGGCAGCAGTAGGTTGTTGAGTGGTCGGCCGCTGCTGGGGAAGGAAGGAAGGTGGGGGCGCAAGGAGGGGAAGAGCAAGAAATATGTGGCCATGCACCTGAGGTTTGACATGGTAAGGATGGGAGGCACCTGAAATTCGACATGGTGCGGATAGGAATCACCTGGAGCTTACCATCGCTGCTCAAACCTCTCTGTCGTTTTTCTGACACTACCCCTAACCCCTCCAACCGTCCCCAGTCTCTACCTTTTTCTCCTCCTTGGGGCATTGTGGCGCAGTCAGCGTGCTTTTGTGCCGAGACACGGGCGACTTCTCGCCCTCCACTCACCCACCCACCCACTTGTAATGAGGTGCCTTTTGAGTCGACTCAAAAGTCACCTCGTTTTGAGTCGACTAAAAAGCTCGACTCATTACATTGTGGCGCACTCAGCGTGCCTTTATGTCAAGACATGGGTGAATTCTCGCTCTCCACTCACCCACCCACCCACTTAATCACCCACCCTCCATTCCACGCCCTCGCTCATCGGAAATGTGACAATACAGGACATGGTGGCGCACTCAGCGTGTGACTATGGCGAGACGTGGGCGGAGCGCGAAGCTTTATCAAAGTACCGAGAGTATGCGTGGCTGGGGCGAGTGGACAAGCTGCGCTTCTCCTCTGATGAGCTGCGCCTGGCCGGCAAGTGCCCCCTCACACCAGAAGAAGTGGGACTCGTGCTGGCTGCTCTCGGCTTCTCTGGCAAGACAAGGCTCTATGTGGCCACCTATCAGGTGAGTCGGTCGGTACCCGGTCACACTGAATGTGGTTGCGTGCAGCTTGCTCTGAGCTGCGCCTGACGGTCAAGCGCCCACTCACACCCGAGGAGGGTGGGGCTCGTGCTGGCTGCCCTCGGCTTTTCTTCTAAAACACGACTATTTGTGGCGACCTACCAGGTGAGTCCGTTGGTACCAGGTGAGTGGACGTGTGGAGTGCGGGTGTGTGCAGCTTGTTATGCCTGCGCCTGACGGTCAAGCGCCCCCTCACACCCGAGGAGGTGGGGCTCGTGCTGGCCGCCCTCGGCTTCTCAGCGAAACTAGGCTCTATGTGGTGACGTACCAGGTGAGTCTATTCGCAAGGTGAGAGTGAGTTTGAGTGTGGACTGTGGGTGTGTGTGGCTTCCTCTGATGAGCTGCACCTCGCGGGCAAGTGCCCCCTCATACCCGAGGAGGTGGGTCTTGTATTGGTTGATCTCGGCTTCTCGGCCAAAACAAGGCTCGATGCGGCGACGTACCAGGTGAGAGTGAGAGTGAATCTGAGTGTGGATTGTGGGTCCATGGCACGGTATGCGTCAACCTCTGATGAGCTGCGCCTGGCAGGCGCGGCCCACAGGAGATGGGGCTTGTGCGTGCCTCGCTCTGCTTTTGAGGCGGCTCAAAAAACCGCGTGAGAGAAGTCTAGTTTTGAGGCGCCTCAAACCTGGCAGGCTCGGCCCACAGGAGATGGGGGGCTTGTGCGTGCCGTGCTCTGCTTCCTCCAGGTGTCGGGCGAAAAGCGGATTAGAAGTAGTCATTTTTGAGACGTCTCAAAAGTGTCCCTTTGTCACAGGGCGTGTGCTTGCCAAGCTCTGCTTACCCCAGGCGCATGGTGGGGAGAAGTTGATGGTACATGCTAACCTCTCGCTTCTATTGCACCCATCGCTTTCTCTTGCAGGTGTATTGGGTAGAGAAACGAATTGCCGCCTTGCACCGCCTGTTCCCGCAGTTGGAGGACAAGACAAGCCTGGCCACGGAGGAGGAGCTGCGGCCGTTCCTGGGGAACGCATCACAGCCCTGCAACACCTGATGTAACCCCTGTTTCCTCGTACGCCGCAGGTGTATGGAGGGGAGAAGCGCATTGCCCCCCTGCGCCGCCTGTTCCCGTGGCTGGAGGATAAGACGAGCCTGGCGACGGAGGAGGAGCTGCAGCCGTTCCTGGGGAAGGCGTCGCTGCTGGCAGCACTGGACTTCTATGTGAGCCGCTACAGCGACGTGTTCGTGTCCGCCTCCCTGGGCAACATGCACAACGTGATGGTGAGGCATGCACCATGTTGTGAGGTGATGGGTTGAATGGTGCTTGCTTACCTTGTGAGGGGAGGGGGGTTGGGCAAGGGAAGACTTGTATGTCAGCCACTACAGTGATGTGTTGGTGTCTGCTTCCCTCCTCAACAAGCACAAGGTAATGGTGAGCTGCATGACATGCTGGTATGTGAGGGGATGGGTCAGATATGACTATGTTACATGAGGCGTCGCTGCTGGCAGCGCTGGACTTGTACAGTGATGTGTTCGTGTCTGCTTCCCTCCTCGACAAGCACAACATAATGGTGAGCTGCATGACATGCTGAGGCACCTCGACAATGTGATGATGAGCACAATGGGGATGGTGATGCCTCTCTGATATTCATTGTTATAGAGTCACCTTTCTGCTCGATGCACTGCACCCCCCTTATGTTTCACCGCTATGTTGTTTCCCAATGCATTTCAATTTCAGGCTGCACACCGTGCGTACTTTGGCGGTTTAAAGACGATCAACTTCAACGGTACACTCCTGGCAACGCTGCTTGCGGCCCCTCCAAACACCCTCAACTGGAACGAGTTCGTTCGCGCCGTGCAGATCGGGCATCGGTCGCGAATGGGCAAGATCAAGCCGAGGCGTGCTGGGCAATCCATCTACACCTATCCTGCTCCCGATTGCTTGTGCCCTATTGACGTACCACCGTCGCAGCCCGCGACTCGCACCGTAACAAGTGCTACAAACAGTGGCTTGGTTTCATTCACAGATGGTAATATTCATTCAGCCGAGGGTGAAGTTGGTAAAAATGAGGATATTGCTGTTGGTAGGGATACGAGAGTTTTAGATGAAACTATGGATGTGCGGGACGTTGATTGGGACAATATGGGAGGCCAAAGACGATGATACGTTGTATGGTTCTGACAATTATACAAGCACCAAGAATGAGCGTGTTAAGATTACAGGCCTTGTTTGAGTTAATCTTTTTGCATAATTATTTTCTGCTTTGGCTGATGGCTCATCTAAGCGACTGTTGCAAACGAGACTCGCAATGCCGCGCGTATTCCGCAACAGATCCCACAATCGAGTTTGCGTGACTTGGTGATTCACGAGGATTTGGTGGTAAGTCGAGTCGCGACACTCCACTCAGATCCCACTCGGGTAAAAGCCAGCACGCAGGCCGCGTGGTTTTGGTTAGGAAGTCGCGATTTGCTCTTGGCACGATCCGATCGTTTCCGCTGGCCGCTAGACCCATCGGTGCAGTATTGCCACAGCACTGTTAGACGGGGTTTTGCGCAGAGCCGATGTGAATTTAGAGTGGATGTGAAGTGGTCGTCACCTCGTTTCGAAGAAGCAGCGACTGTTGAGTCCACTGAGTGGTTCGAAGGTTTCCAAAAAAATATAAAAATAAATACATTATCCATTGAAACGTTTCAATTTGCACGGAGCATCACCAGAGTCGAACGAGGCGTGCAGGCATGGCGGCGAGAGGCAGGTTCGGCGGGGTGAAGCGAGAGAACGAGGGCTTCGACTTTCAGTATCGCATGTCCGTTGACAACAGTGAGTTGTGACAATAGTGAGCTTTGCCTAGTGCGATGTGACATTATTTGCCTTCTGCTCTGCTCGCTCCTTCTGGTTGATCCTCACGCGCCTTTAAGTCTGCATCTCGCCGCGTTGCCGGCTGCATTGTCGCCTCTCCCCATCTTGCGTGTTCTCTGAACTGTGCTGTGCGGTGCTGCGCGGTGCTTTGTGGTGCAGGATACAAGAAGGCAGCTGAGGGTCGTCGCCGACTGAGACTACTGACGACACTGCAGGTGAGCGATGAACCTGCGTCATCTCAATGTCGTCATGAATGGCATCACACCATCGAGGGTGAGGCATCACACCATCGAGGGTGAGGCATCACACCATTGAGGGTGAGGCATCACACCATCGAGGGTGAGGCATCACACCATTGAGGGTGAGGCATCACACCATTGAGGGTGAGGCATCACACCATTGAGGGTGAGGCATCACACCATTGAGGGTGAGGCATCACACCATTGAGGGTGAGGCATCACACCATCGAGGGTGAGGCATCACACCATTGAGGGTGAGGCATCACACCATTGAGGGTGAGGCATCACACCATTGAGGGTGAGGCATCACACCATTGAGGGTGAGGCATCACACCATTGAGGGTGAGGCATCACACCATTGAGGGTGAGGCATCACACCATTGAGGGTGAGGCATCACACCATTGAGGGTGAGGCATCACACCATTGAGGGTGAGGCATCACACCATTCGAGGGTGAGGCATCACACCATCGAGGGTGAGGCATCACACCATTGAGGGTGAGGCATCACACCATTGAGGGTGAGGCATCACACCATTGAGGGTGAGGCATCACACCATTGAGGGTGAGGCATCACACCATCGAGGGTGAGGCATCACACCATTGAGGGTGAGGCATCACACCATTGAGGGTGAGGCATCACACCATTGAGGGTGAGGCATCACACCATTGAGGGTGAGGCATCACACCATTGAGGGTGAGGCATCACACCATTGAGGGTGAGGCATCACACCATTGAGGGTGAGGCATCACACCATTGAGGGTGAGGCATCACACCATTGAGGGTGAGGCATCACACCATTGAGGGTGAGGCATCACACCATTGAGGGTGAGGCATCACACCATTGAGGGTGAGGCATCACACCATTGAGGGTGAGGCATCACACCATTGAGGGTGAGGCATCACACCATTGAGGGTGAGGCATCACACCATTGAGGGTGAGGCATCACACCATTGAGGGTGAGGCATCACACCATTGAGGGTGAGGCATCACACCATTGAGGGTGAGGCATCACACCATTGAGGGTGAGGCATCACACCATTGAGGGTGAGGCATCACACCATTGAGGGTGAGGCATCACACCATTGAGGGTGAGGCATCACACCATTGAGGGTGAGGCATCACACCATTGAGGGTGAGGCATCACACCATTGAGGGTGAGGCATCACACCATCGAGGGTGAGGCATCACACCATCGAGGGTGAGGCATCACACCATTGAGGGTGAGGCATCACACCATTGAGGGTGAGGCATCACACCATTGAGGGTGAGGCATCACACCATTGAGGGTGAGGCATCACACCATTGAGGGTGAGGCATCACACCATCGAGGGTGAGGCATCACACCATTGAGGGTGAGGCATCACACCATTGAGGGTGAGGAATTATAAACTGAGGCATCAAAGAGCTTGCGTCCTGTATCATTGAGGATTCTAACAACATCGAGATTATTCACGTGACCGGCACAGTTTCAGGTAGCAACATCACAGGTTTCATTTTCACGTGACTGTGGGATCTAAGGGTCAAAGCAACATCAAGTAGCACCATTCCGCACCGTTTAGCACCGTTCAGAAATCACCGAGCAGCAAGCCGTTCCTCTCATCTGCCAATCCCATCCCTCCCTCCACCCCCCTCCCTTTCCTCTCGCTCTTCTCCTTCCTGCGAGTCCTCATAGCGGCCTCTCTCACTGCTAGATACCTCTCAATCTGACTGGAGTATCCCCATCCATGCCTCTACTTTCCCCATTCCTTCCCCCCCCCACCACCGCCAGTCGCTCTACTCCTTCCTGCGTGTCCCCATAGCAGCCTCTCTCATGGTCCGCCCTCTCATCACAGCACGCCTGCACGGGAACGCTGCTGTGGGACTGATTATGACTCGACTCCTACTGTCATGCCTCACCTTTCCCCATCCCTTCCGTCCCCAACACCCCTCCTGTTGGAGTAGGCTAGAGCTTTTGAGGCGCCTCAAAAGTCGTTTGCTGGATTAGGCTAGAGGCGCTTCAAAAGTCGTCTGTTGGAGTAGGGTAGAACTTTTGAGGCGCCTCAAAAGTCGTCTGTTGGAGTAGGCTGGAACTCGCTCTGGCATTTATCATAGTGTTCTTTTGTTATTTCGCCATGTTTGGAGCGAGTTACACTTTCGGTTCAGTTTAGGTTCATTTCTTAGTTTCTAGCACAAACTGAGCACGCCCTAAGTTCAATTAGGGCTTCCTACATTTGTATCTCGACACTCTTTCCTTGAAACAATTCTCTTGCTACTTTCTCTCTCCCTAGCCATGGCTACCATATTTCTCAGCTTTAACACCTCCCACCACCTCCATTCACTCTACTCCTTCCTGCGAGTCCTCATAGCAGCTGCGCTCATGGCCTGCGCGCTTATCACAGCACGCCTGCACGGCAGCAGCACCCTAAACCACCAATGCCATGCTTCTCGTTTGCTCCATACCCCCACCTCCCCACCCCACCACCGTCAGTCGCTCTACTCCTTCCTGCGAGTCCTCATAGCAGCCTCGCTCATGGCCCGGCCGCTCATCACAGCACGCCTGCACGGCAGCACGGGTGTGGGGCCACAGGCGCTGCAGATAGACGTGAAGGAGTCGCTAGCAGCAGCACTGGGAGCAGCTGCTGCTCTCACAGGGAATCTAGGTATGTCTAATACCACAAGCACTGGGGAATGCAGTTATGTGTGTGTGTGTATCACCATAAGCACTGGACAGCAGCACGCATGGGCGAGCAGTGGCGCTGCAGATGGACGTGAAGGCGACACTGGTTGCAACACTGGGAGCAGCCGCGGCTCTCACGGGGAATCTAGGTATGTGAATCACAGGGAATCAAGGCATGACTGTTACAGCACGCTTGCTCGGCAGCACGGTTGGGCGAGCGTTGCAGGTAGATGTGAAGGAGGCATTGGCTGGTTGCAGCACTGGGAGCAGCTGCAGCTGCAGCTCTAACAGGGAATCTATGTATGGGTGTTACCACTTCATGGCCTGTCTCGCAGCACTCTTCACCAGTCTTTCCAAAGAAAGCTCTCCCCATGCCCCATCCCATGCCCCATCCCATGCCCCATCCCATGCCCCATCCCATGCCCCACCCATGCTGCATCCCATGCCCCACCCATGCCGCATCCCATGCCCAACTGTTCCCACGTCCCATCCCATGTCCCTTTGCAGCATCCGGCACATCTCGCGCGCGAGTGCTCAAGCTGTACGCCTCGCTCTCCCTCATGGCCTGCGTTGCAGCGCTCTTGCCCCTCCTCACTGGCCCTCTTGTCTATCCGGTATGCTCTGTCTCTACCCTCTTGTTTAACTGGTACTCTATGCCTCTACCCTCTTGTCTACCCGGTCCGCTCTGTCTCTGCCCTCTTGTTTAACTGGTATTCTATGCCTCTACCCTCTTGTTTAACTGGTATTCTATGCCTCTACCCTCTTGTCAACCCGGTACGCTGTGCCTCTACTCTCTTGTCTACTTGGTACGCTGCTCCTCTACCCTCCTGTTTACCCGATATGCTATGCCTCTTCTTTCTTGTCTACCCATTACGCTCTACCTCTCTTCCTTTGTCCAACCGGTACACTCCGCCTTGTTCTTTTGGCTATATCTTTGCACGCTTTCATGCTCTGGTGCATCAGAGAGAGTGCCAGTGTGCATGTGTGCATGTGTGCATGTGTGCATGTGTGCGTGCGTGCATGTGTGCATGTGCGCATGCGTGCTTGTGTGCATGTGTGCATGTGTGCTTGTATGCAAGTGTGAATGCACCCAACGCACCACAGCAGCCCAACACACCCCAGAAGCCCAAAACACAACCCCCTACTTTGTGCTTTGCTCCACCATCTTTCCTTGGACAGGGAAATTGAACAGTGATGTACAGTAGTTGCCTTTCCAATCAACGCAATATCACACAAATTCTCTCGGAAATCGTACAGAACAACACCCCTCAGTTGACTTTTGAGTTCTGCCGAGTGTCACCCTCTGATTGCGTGTCCATTATAATACTGGAACAGGAGAAATGGATGACTGTGAGGAAGAATGGTAGCAGCAACAGTGCGGAGGGAGCAGATAATCTGGAGCAGCTTTGGACTGCTGTAGCCACGGCCAGCATTGCCATTGACATGGCAGGTAACCACCAGAGATTACATTTTTTTCGTAACGCTTGCTGTTTGGCAATGTGTTGTCGTAAATACCCTCCCTAATTCCTGTATTTCTTGTGTGGGTGGATGTCGCCCTGGCTGTTGCAGGAGCTCTGCTGCATCTCGTGGTTGTGTATGTGTCGGTTTCTATGGCTGCTGCGTTTTCCACGCCGAAGTCACAATGACCTGTGGTTCGACACTCGAAGACTGCATGCACTATTAGCCCCTGATACACCGGTCGTGATTGTGTGATGCATTTATTCTTGGCGAACTTGTTTTTGGGTGAACAGATCAGTCACTCACACGTGAACGAGACTCTTTTTGTATTATTGGCGTGGCAACAAATGATGCTTACTATGTAGCAATTTTACCTTCAACCCTTGGGTTCAAACGAAATTTTGAGCTGAAATTATAAGATACACGTGTATGTTGCTGATGCAGATGTCTGAATTCTGTAACGAATCATTCTCAATATACTCTGGTTCACACTGTGTATGTCCAATCAGCATGTGAATCCACCTGAAATCACGGAACGGAACTTGCCAATACAGTATCCCCATCAGCTTCACGTCAGTGTGCACGCCGCCATCCCCACAAGGACCCTTCGCCATCAAACTGCACCAACCCCATCCAAGCCATGGGGCTCAACCAATCACCGTGTGCGCGCAAGTCCTGTGTGGGTGTCTACTCCTCCCTTCCTTTCCTCCCATCCATAGCGCCCTCACCATCATCTCTAGTTGTCGAATGTCGGCTTTGTGATGAAACCCTAGCGCCTGCCACCCTCTTGCGCCAAAACTTCTGAGTCCTCTGGGGTTTCCGAAGCAGAATGGCAGACTCGGAGTGCAGAGTGCAGTCATGGTCCAGCTTCTGACAAAGACAACAAGCCCTCGGTTCGGTTCGACTTGATGGCCCCATGGTTTGGTGGCATTCGTCACGAAGGGTCTTGCTCTCTGCACACTGTCACCACAACCACACGTATCTCGCGCCAAAATCTTCCTCTTTCCCCTCGATGACTCAACACGCAAGCTGTTTTGCGCCAAAAATGGCGAACCCACGGCATCTTCACCCAAGCTGAGTGCCAGGCCCGGCAAGCGATATTCTGACGCCCAGCCGACCGAACCAGCAGGGCGACGGCTTTCTGCGCTGGTTACAGACGTCGCAAACGGAGTCTGTGAGCAAGTCTGCCATGAGATGATGTAAAAAACCCTCATCGTGCCTGTCTTTGCTCAGTTCGCCATTACCATGCCACGTTTTCCGTCTTCTTGAGTTTCTTCTCTCCGCTTTCCCTTCCCTCCTCCCCTTCCCTCTTCCCCGTTTCTCCTCCCCACCATCCCCTATGGCGGCTGTTTTCCCTCCCCTAGAGCGGCCCCCATCATCCACTCCCCACGAGCCCAGCCCCTCCCCGTCCCTCCTCAAGCAAGTAGTTTCCTTTAGTTCCGAACCGCTAACAGAAACCAAGTCCAGCAAAAAGCATGGCGCCTTAGCTCGTTCCACGCAAGCACGCAGTCAACCAAGCACCGTCCGTAAATTAGTTTCTCCGCCTAACTTCCCGAAACTCGGCCAAGTGACGCCGCGCGGCATTCCCAGGATATCCGTAGCTGACCTAGTGTTGGAAGACGGCCCGCCCACATCATCCTACACTAAAGCCGCCGAGACGTTATACCTTTCCTTAGCTCGCCACGGCGCGGCGGTTATCGAGCCGGCACGCGACGATGTAGCGCTGCTGTGTAGGGCGTTAGAGTCGACGCGTCTGTACTTTCGGAAACGGGCCGAATCGGAGTCGTCGCCGCTGAAACCGTCAGAATGGAGCGACCGTGGCGGTTACTTCACCGCTCCGTCCAAGGACCTGTATTTCTACAAGGCTGGAAGGTGTGGAACATAAAGCTGCGTTATAATCGCCATTTAGTTCCGAAGTTATGTTTTGTAACGCGACGGGTTGATTGGGGATATTAGTTTTCACTGCCCTTTTTTAATTCCGTTTTTATTTTGTTTATGTGTGTTTGGCAGGTCGATGAACGAGGGACTGAACGATTTTGTCCTCCTGGTTTTCCTGAAGCCTTTCGATGCAGTGGACGCGTTTCACGGCTTGCCATGTCCGCCATCGCTCGGCACCTGAAGCTTCGTGGCGAGTAAGTCATTGGCGAGTAATTATATGTATTTTGTGCGTTCAACGTGGTAGTACTTCCGTCGTGGTTTTGTTTCGTTGATTTTGTTGGACTGTTTATTTAGTTGTTTTTTCCTCCTTTGCCTTCGGCGTTTTTACAGTTTCTTTTCAGGGTTGCTCGACGACTGCCCGTTGCCGGTCGGCGAAGTATCGTCGTCCGTTCTAGCCGCGACGTGCCAAAGGAGAGATCCTATCTCCGACCATTTCAAACCCGACGACGCGCATGGAAGAGTTTCAGAGGCATCGGAAACCGAGAAGGGCCTTCTGATGCTCGTCACAGCAGATTTCCCGGGCCTTCAGGTAACCCGTTTGTTTACGAAAATTATCGTTTTCGTTACTATTTCGTTGTCGGAGGCTGTGTAACAATCGACGTTCGTCGCGCAGGTGTGCAATTCCGAAGGTGTGTGGTCACCGGCGGATCAGGGCGTGCCGCCGGGAAGCCTGCTACTGCTTGCCGGCCGTTGCCTTCATCGCGCCACGGCCGGGCTCTGCCCGCCTCCACCTACCGCGTGCTGCCGCCCGCCTCTGCGGGAGCCACCAGGTGACTTGCGAAAACGATTTTTTCGTGTTATGTTTCTTCTTTCCAAAGGTTATTTCTTATATCGTGACTTTTGGTTGACGATTTTTGTGTGATTGTTTTTTGTTACGCCTTCGCAGGTGTTCGTTGTCGTTCCGCCTGATGCCGCGCCCTTCAGCGCCGATTGACTGCTCTTCGCTGATTCACGCGGGTCACGCAGTCCCCTCAAGCATGCGAGCCGTCGTTCACGCTGGCCCATTTCTTGATTCGCTGAGCTCCTATGCTCACGATCCTGCGAGCGAATCGAAGGAGTCAAGCATGGTGCGCCTCGTGCGTTTGTATATTGCCTTTGCTTTCATATGGTTTATGATTTTAGTGCTTTCTATTCTAACATATGGTTTTTTCCATGATGTTCAGGCTGTTGCGTGCAAGTTAGAAAAGGCTTCACTTTCGTCAATGGTTGTCGATCCTGCCTCGTAAGTGCGTGCGGATTTCCTGTTTTATGACTATACTCTCGGTCATAATCTAAACATTTCGTTTAACTGTTTTCCAGAGGGTCTCTTCTCGAGGATGCAATGATTGCTCCGTGTGGCCATTCATTTGGTGGAGCGACACTCTCTCGAGTCATTGATTCTGTAAGTGCTCGTGATTGGCTTTAGAATCCCCCCATCAGCTCTTTTCTTCCCCACCCATCTTTATGGGCATCAGCCCATTCCTCATGCACTAGATTCTCGTTTTTTTTCTAAGCTGTTCCACGTGTTCTTCGATCCATGTGCAGATGCTATGTCCTTATTGCATGGCCTCGGTTGACACCATGACTCTGATTCCCAACCTTGGTAAGCAGGCTTGCTTCTTGACCACCCATCCACATCTCTCGCTTTCAGTGTTTAGAATCTGAACATTCTTGTCAAGGTAACGGAAGTTTATCCGAACATTCTTTCTCCAATCTTGCAGCCATGCGGTCAGTTGCGTCTTGCTTCCGCCCGGGCTTGTCGCATGGAGGCGGCGTGAAGGTCCCAAAGAGAAAGCGGGTGAAGGAGTTTGGAGAAGGGAAAGACCCGTCAGAAGCTGTCAAACGCAGACCTAAGGTGATGCATGCGTGGTGTGAGTCTTGACTCTTGACATTTTTGCATCTTCAGATTTCTTGATTGAAGTCATGAATGCTGATTCGCCTTCTTCTTTGGATTCATGAGCAGACTGAAGATGCGATGCTTGCCAGCTCATTTGAAGGAGACACATTTGGCCGTCCAAAAGGAGTACAGTTCCCCTTTTCTGTCAATGACAAAGTTCTGATCAAGGTAACCATTTGTTTGCATTTGATTCTTCTTGAAGTTTAGTGTTTCTGGTTACTAACGACTTGTTCATTGTTGCAGGGAAACAAGCGCACTCCTGAGAAGTTTTTCGGGAGGGAGGCAATTATCACGTCTCAGTGCTTGAATGGCTGGTATGCTCTAGTTTTTTCCCCTGCACCATGCGAATGTTGTGTCATGCGTGTTACTGATTTGACTTTGCCCTGGATTTGCAGGTACCTGGTTCGCATGCTTGACTCTGGGGAAAGTGTTCGCCTGCAGTACCGCTCTCTTCAGAAAAGTGGTGAGTCCCATGTGTGCCACATGGCATGATTGCCATTCTTGAATTGCTGTTCATTTTTGTTGTTTTCCTGCCACCTTATTCATGTTTCGTTTTGTTGTTACCCTTTTACAGATGGAACACCTTTAGAGACTGGCGACGCTCGTCTCTCTAGCAGTCCGGATGCCCAGATGGAGAGGAAGGCTGGAGCAGACTCTACAGAAAGGTGGTGGGAGTCGAAGCCTGCGGTTGGAGAAATGTCGGCATTGCTGCAAGAAGATGACAAGGATGAGAAGCTTGGTCGACCGCTTTCGCTGGCGCTAGGAGAGGAGTCTGTCCCACGACCCTGTCCTGGTGGAGCTTCGTCCTCTTCTCTTCATGAACAGCCCCCCCTTTCGTCAACACCCAATCATCCTGCCGTGAGGAATGCTGTTGATACGCGAGCAGCACCACGTGAGTCCCAAGCTTACTTGGGAGCACATGGATCAAGCCTCGCCAAGCAGACCCAAGCCTTGATTGCTGCAGCAGCAGCAATGGAAGAGGAATCAAGAGAGGCAACTGGGGACGACTGTGTGTCTGGTGGTAACCAGCAGTCATTTTCTCCTCGTGCCAACCAGCCTTCACTTGCGCATGAAGAGCAAAATCCAGGAGTTGTGGAAAACAGGCAGCGGGGTGTTTTTTGCTACTCCAGATTTGGCCAACAGGCAAAGACCAGAGCAAGCTGGCCCCCTTCCTCTCTGGATGTCACCAATAACGGCTACTTCGCTCTTGCATCAAGCAATTTCGGATGGCGCTAACAATTCAGGTCATGGTGGTGGTAGTTAACTGCAGACTTCCAGCTTCTGACCAGCTAATCTCGTCTAATCGTAGTCTAGTTTGGTGATCAACTGACTTCACTGACTGACCGACTGACCACCTGATTGACTGATCTGCATTGCCTTGTTTCTGAATGGTCTTTTGGTACTTTCCAGTCAGCATGAGCCAGCTGATTGGGTTTCTTGTTTTATGGGGTGATTCTGTTGTTTGTTAATTTTGTTAAGGCTGCCTGGATTGCAGCTGCTTATGTGTTGTTGGGAGATTTCCTGCTTTGCATGGATTTGCATATTCTGTTGATTTCAATTCTGTAAACACAATCTTGCAGATGTATCCATGCACTTTTACAGACGAGAGGGCCTGTTATAGGGTCCAACCACAACGGTACTGTATCAAATGGCTCATCGAAAATCGTGAATGTCTGTAGTGCTGGTGCGATGCATGTCGTCCACACAAGTTTGACAGGAAAGGCTGCGCCAGCGCAACCTTCACCACAAAACTGCGATCGCGAAACCCCTTAGGTTTCACCACAGGTTTCTGGACTTGCCGAACCTCTCATTCAGAAGCGGCGTGTAGCTCTTAGCTGACGAGTTTCGTCCCGAACCAATATGGCGAAAGGTATCACCGCTGGTTACAGCTCCTCGCAAACGGAGAAACGGCATCTTCAACTGTTCCGTTGGTGGAAACCCCTCATTTTCAGCGTCGCCTATTTCCTTCGCTTCACTGCTCCAGCCCGTTTCTGTCTCACGTTTTCCGCTTTCCCGTCTCTTCCCGTTCTTTCCACATCCATGCTTTCCATTCATCATCATCCATTCCATCATCATTTTCATCCATTAGGGTTTCGTCAAGCAGCACAGCAGCAACATCTGTTCCGTTCTGTGGGCCATCCATCATCTGAACTGAAGCACCATCCCTCACTCCCCTCCCCCATCCTCCCTCATGGCTTCCGCCATCCCTTCAATCCCTGAGCAACATCCCCCAACCTCCTCCGCAGTCCATGATCATCCTCATGCCATATTACCACCTCCAGCAAAGCAAATGGTGATAAAGGAATGCCAGCCCAAGAGTGCAAGGAAGCGTAGCTCTCACGGCCGGAATTCGCAAGTTAGAGCTCAGGCTAATGCTGTAGAACCACCGGCAGGTGAAGCAGTTCAGATCGCCGCATTCGCGACGCCGCGTGCCGTTCCGAGGATATCCGTAGACGATCTTTTATTAGAAGACGGTCCGCCGTCGTCGTCGTTTACCCGCGCTGCCGAGACATTGTATCTTTCGCTCGCACAGAACGGAGCAGTGATTCTGGAACCCGCGCGACACGATGCCGCGTCCTTGTGTAGAACGTTGGAATCCGCGCGGCTTTACTTTCGCCGACGAGCAGATCCGTCGTCGTCGTCGTCGCCGTCATTCCCGGAACAGCCTGCGTGGAATGACGGCGGAGGTTACTTCCAGGCACCTTCCAAGGACTTGTACTTTTACAAAGCCGGCAGGTCGTTGAACGAAGCAATCAGCGACTCCTGCCCACCGGGGTTTGCGGAAGCGTTCAAGTACTTGGGGAAGGTCTCGCGGTCCGCCATGTCAGCTCTCGCTCGCCATCTGAAAGTCCGCTGCGAGTACGTCCTCCTATTCCTGCATTGAGACGTTTCTTGAGACGTTCAGCTAGTTGTCGCTGATGCGTCTCAGCAGTCGTCGTGTGGAGGTTCGTTCCGAAATGTCGTCTCGTCTTCTCACCGTCGAGTGTGTATCTCGTGTTTTCGCCCGACCCGGTTCACCAGTTTTCAGCAGAATAATTTTGTTGTTGCCCGTGTTCAACGTCGGATTTTTTTTGTTAATTGCCATTATCCTCCTCGCAACTTCCCTGCAGTTTCTTCTCGAGTCTGCTCGACGACCTTCCGTTGCCGATCGGCGAGGTGTCCTCCTCCGTGCTCGCCGCATCATGCCAGCGCATCCAATCTCCTCGAGACGATTCCGCCAGAGTGACACCGGATGCCACTGAAATTGAAAAGGGGCTTCTCATGCTTGTCACAGCCGATTTCCAGGCCTCCAGGTACCGTATACACCATTAGTCCTGCAGGGTTAGCCAATGTGCCAGCCTGTTAGAGGTCAGATTTTCAACTTTTTGCCGCTGTGGTTTAAGGGTGCATTGCTGCGGGCGCTGCTGGTGGCAGGCGTGCGGAATTCGAGGATATGTGGTAGCAAACAATTTGCCATTTTTTTGGCGCAGGTGTGCAATTCCGAGGGCGTCTGGTCGCCGGCGGACCAGGGCGTGCCGCCGGGAAGCTTGCTGCTGCTTGCCGGCCGTTGCCTCCATCGCGCCACGGCCGGCCTCTGCCCCGCCTCCACCTACCGCGTGCTGCCGCCCGTCCTCCTCGGGAACCACCAGGTATCTTATGTTGAAAATAAGAATTACAAAGGGGTTTTTCGTTCTGTTTTTCCTATCCAACTGTGCTCCCGCCCGCGTCGTCGGAAGCAACGTCGTGAGAGGTCCCTTGATGGTTTAGTTGAATGTCATTTCTTCGGATTGACGCCCGTTCGAGTCTGTTCCCAACCCTTGTGCTATGGTGCCTTGGCCTGCTGTACCTCGGGCCGCTGCAGGTGCGCCCTCTCGTTCCGCCTTATGCCGCGGACGGTCGCCGTGATTGCCTGCGCCGTCCTTTCCCCCTCACCCCCTTCCACACACTCTCCTGATTTCATTCCCGCCTTTCTAACCCTGTCTGCTGTGCCGTCGCCTGCTGCAGGTGCGCGCTCTCGTTCCGCCTCATGCCGCGCCCATCCGCGGTGATCGACTGCGCCGTGCTGGCGCACGCGGGCCACGCCGTGCCCGCCGCTATGCGCGAGAGTGTGTGCGCGGGGGCCTTCATGGACGCGCTGGGCCCGTCCGCCTCCGCCGCCGACCTGGGAAGCAGCGACAGAGAATCCAGCCTGGTGAGTCCTTGCGGAGTTAGACTGCTGCGCCCTGCTCGCGCGATCATGGGCGAGCGTGGGCGATCATGGGCGAGCGTGGGCGATCATGGGCGAGCGTGGGGGATCATGGGCGAGTGTGGGCGATCATGGGCGAGCGTGGGCGATCATGGGCGAGCGTGGGCGAGCGTGGGCGAGCGTGGGGGATCATGGGCGAGCGTGGGGGAATCATGGGCGAGTGTGGGCGATCATGGGCGAGCGTGGGCGATCATGGGCGAGCGTGGGTGATCATGGGCGAGTGTGGGCGAGCATTGCTGGGCACCCACTTGAGTTGCCAAATGTTGCTCTTTGCCCGAACAGTCGTGTACATGCTGAGTATAATCAATCAAATCCGTAATTAGTACCACGCATCAAATCGGAGCCCTCCTTTTTTTTTTCCCCTCGTTTCTCAACATTGCTCGTCCGTGTGTCACCAGGCTGTGTCATGCAAGCTGGAGAAGTCGTCTCTTGCCTCCATGGTCTCGGACCCTGTCTCGTACGTTGGGGGGGGGGGTAGAGAGGGAGGTAGGGAAGTAGGGAGTTTTCCCTCGCATGCCTGTCACCAGGCCTTATCTCGCAAGCTGGGAAAGTCGTCTCTTGCCTCCATGGTCTCGGACACTGTCTCGTACGTTGGGGGGAGAGACGCGAGCGAGGGAAGCAGCAGGAGAGAATATGAAAGAGGGAGGGATGAAGCAAGAGAGACCAGGGGCTCAATGGGTTAAAGACGGGGGTGCGCGGGGGAGGAAGAGTGAAATGAGTTCGGGAAGTTGGAGGCGGAGGTGGTGAGGGAGATAGGGAGGTGGAGAGGTAGGGACGTTGAGGTAGACGTAGTCACGTAGGGAGGAAGGGAGGTAGATGTAAGGAGATGGTTGCAGGGAGAGGGGTGTATGGAGGTAGAGAGGGTTGGAGTGATGCAGATAGGGAGGGAATGAAGCACTGAACTGCATGCTGCTCTGCTCGTGTTTGCTGCAAGGGGTCGTTGCTGGAGGGAGGATGTGATGGGGATGGTGGCCCAGTGTGGGCACGCCTTTGACGGAGAGTGTTGGAATGAAGTGCTGACTTGTGTGCTGCTGTCATGTCATGTACCTTTGTTGTGTGCTGCTACTGTGTGTGTGCTGTTGTGTTGTGTGTGCTGCAGGGGCTCGCTGCTGGAGGATGCCAATGGGGCTCAGTGTGGGCATTCCTTCGGCGGAAGCAACACTCGCAAGAGTCATGGACTCGGTAAGCACCTCCTGCCTTCCCTCGTTCCTGTTTGTGCGTCTCAATATTGAGTTCTGAGAAGGCTTTAAATTTGAGTTCTGAGAAGGCTTTAAGTTTTGAGTTCTGAGAAGGCTTCAAGTTTGAGTTCTGAGAAGGCTTTAAATTTGAGTTCTGAGAAGGCTTTAAATTTGAGTCTGAGAAGGCTTTAAATTTGAGTCTGAGAAGGCTTTAAATTTGAGTCTTGAGAAGGCTTTAAATTTGAGTCTGAGAAGGCTTAAATTTTGAGTTCTGAGACGTTCCAAGCTGGACTCGGTAAGGAATTCCTTCCGTCATGTCTGTTTATGGCTTGCTATTCAGTCCCGTGCTGCAGCCACCTTGCATAGTTTTCGTGCTCTACCTGCCACTTTTCCACATGTCTTGCCTCATCACGTGCTCTGCCTCACATGCCCTGCCTCACATGCCCTGCCTCACATGCCCTGCCTCACATGCCCTGCCTCACAATGCTCCATGGCTCCTGCCTGCCTCTCTTGTGCTCTGCAGATGTTGTGTCCATACTGCATGGCGCCTGTTGACGTCATGGCGCTCATTCCCAACCTCGTGTAAGCGGTCTACCTGGGCTCATTCCCATTCTCTCACATTCCCTCACATTCCCTCACATTCCCTCGCATTCTCCCATTCTCCAACCTCACCTCCGTGTGCCATGGCGCCTGCTTGCGTGCAGCTGTGAGGTCCGTGGCATCATGTTTCGGCAAGGGTGTGCTGCACTGCACCACACAGGGGCTAGGAGGGGTGGGCCATGTCACCACTCACATTGTCCCATTCTCCCTCCTCACCTCCATGTCACCTGCTTGCGTGCAGCTGTGAGGTCCGTGGCATCATGTTTCGCAAGGGCGTGCATGCCACCACACAGGGGCTAGGAGGGGTGGGCCATGTCACCACTCACATTGTCCCATTCTCCCTCCTCACCTCCGTGTCACCTGCTTGCGTGCAGCTGTGAGGTCCGTGGCATCATGTTTTGGAAAGGGCCTGCCGCACCACACAGGGGTCGGGGCTGGGCCGGGCGCAAAGGCGCACAAGAGGAAGCGAGACAAGGAGCACACAGGGGAGGGCAAGCTGTTGCCAGACGGCTCCCTGCCTCAACCAGTCAAGCGCCGCCCCAAGGTGTTGTGCCTGCCCTCCTCTCCTCTCCTTTCCTCTCCTCTCCTCTCCTCTCCTCTCCTTTCCTCTCCTCTCCTCTCCTCTCCCTCTCCTTTCCTCTCATCTCTCTCCTCTCCCTCTCCTTTCCTCTCCTCTCCTCTCCTCTCCCTCTCCTCTCCTCTCCTCTCCTCTCTCTCAACCTTCCTCTCTTCTCTCCTCTCCCCTCTTATCTTCTTCCTTTCAACAAAACAGTATCATTCTCTCCCTGCGCTTTGTTCTCATGCTTGAAGCGATGCTTTTCTGTAGCAATGATAAGCCTTTTTTGGGACTGGAGCGTCATTGATATGGTGCTGTCCCTTGTTGTGTTGTGCTGTGTGTGTTTGAGCAGCCTGAGGACTCGGGGCTTCTCGGGTCTCCTGATGCTGAAGGTGGTGGCCGCCTGAAAGGCGTGCAGTTTCCATTCTCCGTCAACGAAAAGGTTCTGATAAAGGTAAGAGCTCCTTCACGTCCTTCACGTTTCTCGATTGTTTGTTTTTTTTAATCATTTTCACTGTAGTGGGCTGCGAACGCGTTGCTGATGACTCTCCATGGTTTGACGTGCAGGGGAATAAGCGAACGCCTGAGAAGTTCTTTGGCAAAGAGGCAGTGATCACTTCTCAGTGCCTCAACGGCTGGTGGGTTCTTCTCTCTCTGTGTGTGTCTGTCTGTCTGTCTGTCTGTCTGTCTGTCTGTCTGTCTGTCTGTCTGTCTGTCTGTCTGTCTGTCTGTCTGTCTGTCTGTCTGTCTGTCTGTCTGCCTCTGTCTTTCGTTCTTTTTGGATGCCTAAAAGTATGTGCGTGCTCCCATCCCATGTTTGTTCTACCTGTACAATCTGTCAGTTGATTGACAGACAGCGTGTCTCTCTGTCTGTGTGCCTCTGCCGCAGGTATCTCGTGCGAGTGCAGGACTCGGGGGAAAGCGTCCGTCTGCAGTACCGTTCTCTTCAGAAGTGTGGTCAGTGCACCGCTGCACTGCACCTCCTCCCATCCCATCCCACTGCTCATTTTTGCATGTCTAGAAAGTTGCCTCCTTTTGTTTTGTAAACGCCTTGTTTTCTTTCTCTGTCTTGCGAGAACCCACTTATCGCTTGCTTTGTCAAGCGTGTTTTTTGTATGTAATTCTGACGCGCCTAAAAACCATCCTCTGCATAATTTGTTCAGATTGACAACCACCCAACCTAACATCCTTGCTATATATATGTATGTATATATGTAATATGTATATGTATATATGTATATGTATACATATGTATATATATATACATAGTCACACACCATCCCCCCCCCCCCTCCCCCCCCCCCCCCCCCCCCCCCCCTCCTCTCCCCCACGTCTCCAGATGGAACGCCAGTGGAAGCCAAGTATGAGGCGCACCATGCGAGCACAGCAGAGGCACAGGCAGAGGAAGCAGGGGCGGGCGGAGATGGCAAGAGCTGGTGGGGCGACGAGGGGGAGAAACGCCTGATGGGTGAACAGCCAATGATGGGCGACATGTCAGTCTCTCAGCCAATCATAGGCGAGATGTCAGCCTCTCAACAATGATGGGCGAGATGTCAGCGCTGCTCCAAGCAGACGACGACTCAGACCACCCACCGGCCTTTTCAGACGACACTCTCCTCCCTCACAACCCATCCAACAGCATGTCTGTATCCCATCTCTGCTCGGACAGTCATTTGACCACTCGCAGAAACCTTCCAGCAGCAGCACTCTCTATCCCCATCTCTGTTGGGACAGTCCCTCATGCTGTCTCCCCCATCCAGCAGCCATCTGGCAATGCTGAGCTCACCGCCTATGGAAGGTCGTGCAGCCATGCTGACCTCACCACCGCCGCCCAACAGCCATGCAGCAATGATGAGCCCGCCGCCGCCCATGGGCGGGCGGCTGTCCAGTGTGGCGGAGTCGAGCTGTTTTGGGGCGGCTCAGAAGCAGCAGCAGGCTGGTCAACTGGCAATGCCAGTGCAGGGCTTGCAAGAGGAGGGGGGCTTCTGGGGGTGCAGAGGCAGGGGGGTGTGGGAGTGAAGTGCCAGGGTTGGGGCTGTCACCTGGGCAGCAGCAGCAGCAGCAGCAGCAGCAGGGGGGGTCTCTGCTGGCCCAAGGGACGCATGCACTGATTGCAGCAGCCGCAGCTGTGGAAGCCGAGTGCAGGGGGGAAGCGGCTGGTGGGGATGTTGATGGTGGTGCTGGTGGTAATGGTGCTGGTGGTGATGGTGCTGGTCTGGTGGCGGTAGGGCTCCCCTTGCTACCAGTGGAAGGCAATACAGGGGTGCACAGGGCAGCAAACATGGGGCCGGGGCGGGTCGGTCGGGCAGTGTGGCTGATAGACGGCCATCGGAGCAGCAAGGGCCGCTGCCCCTGTGGATGTCACCCGACACGGCAACCACGATTCTGCACCAGGCGATTTCAGATGCTGGTGGTGCTGGCAATGTGGAGCGTGGTGATGGGGAGTTGGGAGCGGTGAACAATCAGGCTGGTTAGTGTACATCTTGGTGTGCATTCTTTTGAGTTCGGATGCCAGTGGGTGGTGTACAGGTTTCATTTATTCATGAGTACTAATGGCAGGCATGAGATGCAGCCACTAGGGCTGCAATTGTGTCTGGTATAGGCTGTGCCCTGGATGGGTGGGTGGGAGTCCCCTGTTTCTGTATGAATGCCAAATCCCTTTCAGTTGTGTAACAATTGTTCTGCATACACCTGCTTGCAATGGGGTATGCAGCTCAAGCAGTTGAATCGACGTGATGTAAATAAAACATGGAGTTTATGTAAAGTGTACCGAGTCACGCCATGCGTCCTAGATTCTGCCTTGAAAAGTCAAGAGATGCCGGGCAGCAACTCACGGATTTCAGGGGCGCCGGCCAATGCCGCTGCGTCTCACGCGCTGTTGTCGCTGCGCTTGTGTCTCTCTACCCATCTGATTGGTCTTCGGAGGTCTTCGGTCCGAGGTGAAGATTTTCGTGTGTCCAAGGTCCAAGGTCATTGGACATGGATCATTGTTCATGGATCACATGCATCCATGTTGTACCTTTTCGTCAAACAGTACATGTTCTGTAAGTTATGTCATGTCATGTCACCATCCCCTCCCCTGGTTTGTGGGTGGGTTGCACCATGCGTACCAAACCTCATGAGGGATTGAACTTCCATCGCCATCGCCGTCGCCATTCCATAGCCATCGCCTCCCCATCCCCATCCCCATCCCCATCCCATCCCATCCCCATCCCCACCCCATTCTCCCGATGACCTCGGTTTTGCCGATGACCACAGGTTTCTCCAGCAGCCCCCCGTTTCGACCGTATGTGGTTGGTGTTCATCTCGATGTTGCCAAATAATGCTGGGGATGACCCAGCCAGCAGCACCATTTTGGTGCCAAATGTGTGGAATCAATGCTGAGGAGGGAGTTTCAGCCATGGCTCCATAGCGTACCTCCCGCCACAGCAGATTGCCGCAGGAACAGACGTTTTTAAAGAGATTAGCCTGATCCGCACCTACATAAATTCTCGTTTCCTTGTCTCCCCGTCTCTTATCTCGCGTGTAATCCCGCCAAAAGCCGAGCAATTTTCTAGATTCAGATTCCAGAAGGAAACCACCAACCCACGACAGCGAGTCCTCCGTTCCCCAATGCCTATGTGCCACGTAGCTCGTGTCCGTCAGCCATTGGGTGAGAAATACCGGCTTCTGGTCAAGCGCCTTGGTCGCCGTCGATCCAGGGCAGCGAACATGTCGTTGACGGTCAAGATGCCAGGTTAACCGCCGTCGATATTTCATGAATAGAAGGTGCACCCGCGGGCATCCCAGCTTTCATCGGCATTGCCCGATCTTTCTCGCTTCGCCTTTCTTTCTCGCTCTTCTCTTGCGCTTCTCCCATTTTTCCCTCGCTTATAACTTCCCGCCATCGTTCGCCAGAGTGTTGTCTTCAGATCGTCTCCCCCAGTGCCCCATCGCCTCATTCCTCTCGTCACTCGCTCCTCTACTAATTCCTCCCCTCACTTACCTCTTCTCGCCATCGTTCGCCACGGTGTTGTCGTCAGACATCTCCCCCATGGCCCCATCCTCTCCCTTCCTCTCGTCACTCCGGGGTTGTTTGTGTCGACTCAAAACACACCTTTTGAGTCGACTCGAGACACATCATTCGCCACGGTTCTCATCATCTCCCCCATTGCCCATCAGCTAATTTCTCTCGTCACCTCCGTCCTCTTCTCTCCCTCCTCTCGCCGCCGCTATCTCGCTCTTATTATCCCGCCGCTA